TTTTAGGAGAAGCCAGCTTCCAGAGCAGGCTCGATCGAGCTTAGCCCTATTAAGGCAAAGTTCAGCGAAAAAAATTTTCCCACGGTGGTTTTTAGGAGAAGCCAGCTTCCAGAGCAGGCTCAATCGAGCTTAGCCCTATTAAGGCAAAGTTCAGCGAAAAAAATTTTTCCACGGTGGTTTTTAGGAGAAGCCAGCTTCCAGAGCAGGCTCGATCGAACTTAGCCCTATTAAGGCAAAGTTCAGCGAAACAAATTTTCCCACGGTGGTTTTTAGGAGAAGCCAGCTTCCAGAGCAGGCTCGATCGAACTTAGCCCTATTAAGGCAAAGTTCAGCGAAAAATATTTTCCCACGGTGGTTTTTAGGAGAAGCCAGCTTCCAGAGCAGGCTCGATCGAGCTTAGTCCTATTAAGGCAAAGTTCAGCGAAAAAAAAATTTTCCCACGGTGGTTTTTAGGAGAAGCCAGCTTCCAGAGCAGGCTCGATCGAGCTTAGCCCTATTAAGGCAAAGTTCAGCGAAAAAAATTTTCCCACGGTGGTTTTTAGGAGAAGCCAGCTTCCAGAGCAGGCTCGATCGAGCTTAGCCCTATTAAGGCAAAGTTCAGCGAAAAAAAAATTTTCCCACGGTGGTTTTTAGGAGAAGCCAGCTTCCAGAGCAGGCTCGATCGAGCTTAGCCCTATTAAGGCAAAGTTCAGCGAAAAAAATTTTCCCACGGTGGTTTTTAGGAGAAGCCAGCTTCCAGAGCAGGCTCGATCGAGCTTAGCCCTATTAAGGCAAAGTTCAGCGAAAAAAATTTTCCCACGGTGGTTTTTAGGAGAAGCCAGCTTCCAGAGCAGGCTCGATCGAGCTTAGCCCTATTAAGGCAAAGTTCAGCGAAAAAAATTTTCCCACGGTGGTTTTTAGGAGAAGCCAGCTTCCAGAGCAGGCTCGATCGAGCTTAGCCCTATTAAGGCAAAGTTCAGCGAAAAAAATTTTCCCACGGTGGTTTTTAGGAGAAGCCAGCTTCCAGAGCAGGCTCGATCGAGCTTAGCCCTATTAAGGCAAAGTTCAGCGAAAAAAATTTTCCCACGGTGGTTTTTAGGAGAAGCCAGCTTCCAGAGCAGGCTCGATCGAGCTTAGCCCTATTAAGGCAAAGTTCAGCGAAAAAAATTTTCCCACGGTGGTTTTTAGGAGAAGCCAGCTTCCAGAGCAGGCTCGATCGAGCTTAGCCCTATTAAGGCAAAGTTCAGCGAAAAAAATTTTCCCACGGTGGTTTTTAGGAGAAGCCAGCTTCCAGAGCAGGCTCGATCGAGCTTAGCCCTATTAAGGCAAAGTTCAGCGAAAAAAATTTTCCCACGGTGGTTTTTAGGAGAAGCCAGCTTCCAGAGCAGGCTCGATCGAGCTTAGCCCTATTAAGGCAAAGTTCAGCGAAAAAAAAATTTTCCCACGGTGGTTTTTAGGAGAAGCCAGCTTCCAGAGCAGGCTCGATCGAGCTTAGCCCTATTAAGGCAAAGTTCAGCGAAAAAAATTTTCCCACGGTGGTTTTTAGGAGAAGCCAGCTTCCAGAGCAGGCTCGATCGAGCTTAGCCCTATTAAGGCAAAGTTCAGCGAAAAAAATTTTCCCACGGTGGTTTTTAGGAGAAGCCAGCTTCCAGAGCAGGCTCGATCGAGCTTAGCCCTATTAAGGCAAAGTTCAGCGAAAAAAATTTTCCCACGGTGGTTTTTAGGAGAAGCCAGCTTCCAGAGCAGGCTCGATCGAGCTTAGCCCTATTAAGGCAAAGTTCAGCGAAAAAAATTTTCCCACGGTGGTTTTTAGGAGAAGCCAGCTTCCAGAGCAGGCTCGATCGAGCTTAGCCCTATTAAGGCAAAGTTCAGCGAAAAAAATTTTCCCACGGTGGTTTTTAGGAGAAGCCAGCTTCCAGAGCAGGCTCGATCGAGCTTAGCCCTATTAAGGCAAAGTTCAGCGAAAAAAATTTTCCCACGGTGGTTTTTAGGAGAAGCCAGCTTCCAGAGCAGGCTCGATCGAGCTTAGCCCTATTAAGGCAAAGTTCAGCGAAAAAAAATTTTTCCCACGGTGGTTTTTAGGAGAAGCCAGCTTCCAGAGCAGGCTCGATCGAGCTTAGCCCTATTAAGGCAAAGTTCAGCGAAAAAAAAATTTTCCCACGGTGGTTTTTAGGAGAAGCCAGCTTCCAGAGCAGGCTCGATCGAGCTTAGCCCTATTAAGGCAAAGTTCAGCGAAAAAAAAATTTTCCCACGGTGGTTTTTAGGAGAAGCCAGCTTCCAGAGCAGGCTCGATCGAGCTTAGCCCTATTAAGGCAAAGTTCAGCGAAAAAAAAATTTTCCCACGGTGGTTTTTAGGAGAAGCCAGCTTCCAGAGCAGGCTCGATCGAGCTTAGCCCTATTAAGGCAAAGTTCAGCGAAAAAAATTTTCCCACGGTGGTTTTTAGGAGAAGCCAGCTTCCAGAGCAGGCTCGATCGAGCTTAGCCCTATTAAGGCAAAGTTCAGCGAAAAAAAAATTTTCCCACGGTGGTTTTTAGGAGAAGCCAGCTTCCAGAGCAGGCTCGATCGAGCTTAGCCCTATTAAGGCAAAGTTCAGCGAAAAAAATTTTCCCACGGTGGTTTTTAGGAGAAGCCAGCTTCCAGAGCAGGCTCGATCGAGCTTAGCCCTATTAAGGCAAAGTTCAGCGAAAAAAATTTTCCCACGGTGGTTTTTAGGAGAAGCCAGCTTCCAGAGCAGGCTCGATCGAGCTTAGCTATATTAAGGCAAAGTTCAGCGAAAAAAATTTTCCCACGGTGGTTTTTAGGAGAAGCCAGCTTCCAGAGCAGGCTCAATCGAGCTTAGCCCTATTAAGGCAAAGTTCAGCGAAAAAAAAATTTTCCCACGGTGGTTTTTAGGAGAAGCCAGCTTCCAGAGCAGGCTCGATCGAGCTTAGCCCTATTAAGGCAAAGTTCAGCGAAAAAAATTTTCCCACGGTGGTTTTTAGGAGAAGCCAGCTTCCAGAGCAGGCTCGATCGAGCTTAGCCCTATTAAGGCAAAGTTCAGCGAAAAAAATTTTCCCACGGTGGTTTTTAGGAGAAGCCAGCTTCCAGAGCAGGCTCGATCGAGCTTAGCTATATTAAGGCAAAGTTCAGCGAAAAAAATTTTCCCACGGTGGTTTTTAGGAGAAGCCAGCTTCCAGAGCAGGCTCGATCGAGCTTAGCCCTATTAAGGCAAAGTTCAGCGAAAAAAATTTTCCCACGGTGGTTTTTAGGAGAAGCCAGCTTCCAGAGCAGGCTCGATCGAGCTTAGCCCTATTAAGGCAAAGTTCAGCGAAAAAAATTTTCCCACGGTGGTTTTTAGGAGAAGCCAGCTTCCAGAGCAGGCTCGATCGAGCTTAGCCCTATTAAGGCAAAGTTCAGCGAAAAAAATTTTCCCACGGTGGTTTTTAGGAGAAGCCAGCTTCCAGAGCAGGCTCGATCGAGCTTAGCCCTATTAAGGCAAAGTTCAGCGAAAAAAATTTTCCCACGGTGGTTTTTAGGAGAAGCCAGCTTCCAGAGCAGGCTCGATCGAGCTTAGCTATATTAAGGCAAAGTTCAGCGAAAAAAATTTTCCCACGGTGGTTTTTAGGAGAAGCCAGCTTCCAGAGCAGGCTCAATCGAGCTTAGCCCTATTAAGGCAAAGTTCAGCGAAAAAAAAATTTTCCCACGGTGGTTTTTAGGAGAAGCCAGCTTCCAGAGCAGGCTCGATCGAGCTTAGCCCTATTAAGGCAAAGTTCAGCGAAAAAAATTTTCCCACGGTGGTTTTTAGGAGAAGCCAGCTTCCAGAGCAGGCTCGATCGAGCTTAGCCCTATTAAGGCAAAGTTCAGCGAAAAAAATTTTCCCACGGTGGTTTTTAGGAGAAGCCAGCTTCCAGAGCAGGCTCGATCGAGCTTAGCTATATTAAGGCAAAGTTCAGCGAAAAAAATTTTCCCACGGTGGTTTTTAGGAGAAGCCAGCTTCCAGAGCAGGCTCGATCGAGCTTAGCCCTATTAAGGCAAAGTTCAGCGAAAAAAATTTTCCCACGGTGGTTTTTAGGAGAAGCCAGCTTCCAGAGCAGGCTCGATCGAGCTTAGCTATATTAAGGCAAAGTTCAGCGAAAAAAATTTTCCCACGGTGGTTTTTAGGAGAAGCCAGCTTCCAGAGCAGGCTCGATCGAGCTTAGCCCTATTAAGGCAAAGTTCAGCGAAAAAAAAATTTTCCCACGGTGGTTTTTAGGAGAAGCCAGCTTCCAGAGCAGGCTCGATCGAGCTTAGCCCTATTAAGGCAAAGTTCAGCGAAAAAAATTTTCCCACGGTGGTTTTTAGGAGAAGCCAGCTTCCAGAGCAGGCTCAATCGAGCTTAGCCCTATTAAGGCAAAGTTCAGCGAAAAAAATTTTTCCACGGTGGTTTTTAGGAGAAGCCAGCTTCCAGAGCAGGCTCGATCGAGCTTAGCTATATTAAGGCAAAGTTCAGCGAAAAAAATTTTCCCACGGTGGTTTTTAGGAGAAGCCAGCTTCCAGAGCAGGCTCAATCGAGCTTAGCCCTATTAAGGCAAAGTTCAGCGAAAAAAATTTTCCCACGGTGGTTTTTAGGAGAAGCCAGCTACCAGAGCAGGCTCAAGCTTAGCCCTATTAATGCAAAGTTCAGCGAAAAATATTTTTCTCCAGAGCGTTAGGTGTATAATTACAATTATGTTTATAATTACAAATATGTATATAATTATTGTAATTATAATATAATTACAATAGCTATTTCTTCTTAGCAATGTGAAGGTAGGAAAATGGAAGAGAGTCAATGATGTGCTCGCTCGAGGTGAGTCTGTCATCGGCTCTTTCAATTAAGACATGCTGTATCGGAGTGCCAGTTACGAGGCCCATTAAAAATAGCCTAATACGCTTGTTTGTCATTTCAACAGGTAGCTATGTCCCCCTTCCCCACAGATAACAGGCAGCAATAAAAGTGCACTTAAATAAATGACAATTTCAGCCACTATACAACGGCTGAAAAAGCACAGGACCAGCCATATCCTCGCATCGTCCTTTATTGGGCAATTACGTACAACGTCAATAAGCAAAGGCGGTGTGAGCAAGAGATGCCTTGCTTCGTGCACGGGCTGAGGAGCACGTTCCAGTGAGGCAGGTTCCCATCGGCGAAAAGTTGCGATTGCCGAAGTCTTTAGAAAAACAGCAGGACCCGAGGGACTTGACGTTGGACTGCTGTCGCCAGTCCTGCGGTCGCCTGAAAAAGAGCCGCCACGCTTATGAGCACTGCCACTACCAATGATGCACTGAAACAGAGTGGAATAGAGTGAATAGAGTGCACTGAAATAGAGTTGCAAAAATGTGGGTTGCATCAGGATCAGTTTTTCCCAGTGTCCTGATGCAACAACCCCAGCAACGCGGTCCTCAAATCTCAGCTCAAATTGCTACATTTTGCTATAGGCATCGGCGATGCAACTTTCTTCCATTATCTGGACATAAAGTTACCTGTTAATAACATGTTATTTTTTTTTTTTTTTTTTTTATCTTGAGGTGGCACCAAAAATACCATCTTATCTCCCTAAGACCTTTACATCATGAAAACGATCCACCGCGAACCAGAACCAAGTGTTCTGTCACTACTCGCCACCCCAGGGGGTCAGATAAAGAATATTGTGTTTCCAATTGGCTCTTTTATCGTTTCGGTCTCCGAGCTGTTCGTTCGTTTAAAGCTTGACCTGATCCCAGCAATTTGAGTCGCAACGAGGGGATTCTAGGGAGCAACTAAAGAAACAGCAATCCTGGTACTGATGGAAAAATTGCTCTGTCTGAAGCGGGCCTTGGCAAGTTGCTATGCTTGAGCTTACTACTACTTGGTTAAGCATAGCAGACGGAAAGTGTTCGGCACAAGATTTCGTTCATTGACGATTTGTTGATGACTTTCAACTGCAAAACTATAAAACCAGTCCTCAGGCTGTAGTGTCCACTCGGTTGAACATTGAGATTCCGAGATTTTCGAGAACCGTAGAAATACTAGATGTGCATTTTTCCTGTCAGTTTTTTTCGAAATAACAAAGAACATGTTTTCCATACATCGCAAATCAAAAAACCTGAGACAGTGTCACCGCAGAGATAGCATTAGCATTAGTACCGTATTCTTATCTACGGCATTAAAATAATTTCACTCGGATGGACGCTTGTAGCTGGCAAATACCGCTTCGTTTGCTTTCAATTTGCTTGAACTCCAGGTGTTTTACTTTACCGTGACAACAGAACACTCTCGCTGCTTGACTGGTTGTGAAGCGTGCGGCGAGCTATGTCGTTTAAAGCGGAATTTGCAGAGTTTTTCATCATGTTGGACCGTCTTCATAACCATTGCGTCTGTGTGTATTGCGGAAAAAAGAAGTGAGGAAACACTTGCAGCTGTTGTGCCCCGAGTTGAGAATGGCAGGGAGATCTTTCGGCTGTCCCGCCTTCAGCGCCAGCATCCTACCTTCGATAACACTTCAGCGTCTCATGAGCGTCGAGTGTGCGCGAGCAGCCAATGTGTGGCAGAGGGCCATGAGCATGTGTTGGAGGCCGGGCACTCGAAAGAGACACTCTGCCATACTCGTCCTGTCAGTACAATCACGCACCTCCCAAAGATGGCAGGGAAGATGTTCCAGCCCTCGTCTGTTGCCTCCACAGCCGCCTCAATTGCTTGGCAGCGGCGATGATACTGCAATTTGAAAAGTTTTTCAGGCATGAAACTAGAAGTTTGAACACTGACTCTGCGACCCCAAGACGACTGCCTTCTCGAATCAAGCGGGTTATCTTTTACAACCACATAGGAACGAAGACTCAGGGGGTGGCTTTAGAAATGAAATGCTAGCTTCTGAAAAATACTTTTCTTGCAAACCGACTGTAAAGTTCAACAAGGTGCCTCTATGCAACAATGTGCCATCGCATTGAATTGTATTTACAAGCGCTGTAAGCCAGTTGCAATTTGGGGATTTCTCAAATTCCGCAGTACTAACTGCTTCATGACGGAGGCTTAAAGACGGGGACAACTGAACTATGATGTACATATTAAAGATAATCATCGGGAGACCAGGGCCTTAAAGGGCAACTTGAGATGATCACAGCCGGCTCCCCACGGCCGTGATCATATTTCACTAGCACGAAATATAATCACAGCCGAAATATTATGTCGAAGTGAGACCGCATATACTTCACTAAAACCGATTTTCAAGATGAGACCAGTTGCTCTTTAGCCGGCGGCAAAGCGGGTTTGCTTTTCGTCAAGGAACAACGGCGCAGCACCCTTGTGATGTCACGTCGCAGTGGAGCTGTGGTTAATTCGTTGTACCGCGTAACGCAGCACCCTTATGACGTCACACCGCAGCAGTCCCTCGAGCAGATAGTTTAGGTCTTGTCACAGATGCCCGAACCAAACTTTGAGCTGCGATATTTATAAAACTAAACACAATATTGAAAAAACAAAACAAAGAAACTATAGATACTAATTTAGGGACACTGCTCAGCTGAAAACAGTTGTAATCCCAAATTCAAAAATAGGGACCGTAGTTGCTGTTTAAACGATTTAAACCATATTTTAAACTATGCATTTAAACCTAGTTAAGAAAGCTAATATACTAACAGAATTAGAACGAAAGAGTGAGTAATTGGGTCTTCACTAAAATCGAAGCTTCAAAACGTGCAAAAATGGACCATACTTTGTTTCACCTTACAATGAACCGTAGGGGATGATACAAGTCATCGAAGGTCAATCCAATGCCGTGCGTGTCACGTGACCTCCGGGAAGGGTGCAGCAACGCGCAGGGCGCATAGCCAAGTGATTTGTTCGCAGCACTGAATTGGCTAGCATGTCTTAGGGCATAGGTCCTCAAACTGGGTTACCTAGAGTACCTCATCACAGGTTCCCAGAGCCCCCAAATTTCATGGACCGTCCCTGCCGCTAAGCGTTCTTCCAGCTCAGTCATTATTTCAGCAGGTCGGAGCCATCTATCGATGCATAACTATGTATCAAACACTTCCTAGTATGTGTACATTATTGTTTACGTCTGCAGGATTCTGCACTTCTATTTCTTTTAAACCAGCGCCAAAACCGGGATGGGTCACTCGGCTTTCAGTCAAGCCCGATAAGGCGAGATACGAAAGCTTGAAAACTCCCGGTATATAGTTTCTGCCGTGGTCCATTGTAAGGTGAAACGGAGCATAGCGAGCTCTACTGCGTACAGACAAGAAAGACGATGCTTGGTCGGAGGCCTGGTCGCTCGAGTCCCGGCAAGATGCGAAAGTAATGTACGGTGGTGAAGAGGCTCACCTCGCAAGTGATCTGCCATAGTGAGCACTGCGATGGAGGAAGCATCTCGGGATCGACAGGAAGCGTCAGGTGGCGCTGCGGCCCGCCGACGTCCATCAGCTGGACATGGTTCCCGCTGCAAACCACCCTGGCACCTGTGCCACGTGCAGAAACAATCGCCTGGCTTAATACAAGCAACAAGCATTTTCTGCAGTCGCGGCATCGGCTGTACCAATTCTGATCCGCACTGGCACGTTTTTTTTTTTGTTATTATTTCCGGGGGGGGGAAAGTTTTTTTGCTTGTGTCCTTGGACAGAGGCTCAAAGTGAGCTTGTCACATGAATCTGGACAGCCATTCACACGCTCTGGTGTGCACTGCTGACGTCCTCACTGAAATTGTCTCTGCACGCTGCAACTTGCACACTTTCTCATGCTTTTTTTCATGCCGTGCGCGGCATCCGTCCTGTCCTGTTTGGACAGACCATTAGGTGCTCCGTTAAATGCAGTGAAAGTGTGGTTACACTTGATGGGAATTTCGGTGGGAAATTTAAAACATTGATTTCCCCATTAAATATAGCGAAAAAATTAATGTCACGTGGCCTGACATTACATGACGTCAGGTCGCGTGACATCCATTTTTTCGCTAAGTTCAGCACGAAAATTATTATGGTGTCATGTAACGTAGTCACGTCATGTGACATAGTCACGTCATGTCACGCTGTCACGTGATGCCAATATCTATGATGAAAGTTGGGGGTTTATAATCGGCTCCAGATCACAAGACTGCTTGGTATGGCTGCTTGCTGAAGGGGTGAACGCAGATCATTTTTCTCCGCGACTGCTACTGCGTGGTAAGAGAAACTAATGTGGGTCTTGTGGGTTACAAACGCCGAGGATTAAGTCCAAGCGGTATTTGCCAAAAGTACAAAAATCATTGTGCCAGCCCTTGAGCACGCTAAGACGTACCAGAGTAGAAGCTAGCTTCGAGGTCGCCGCTGCCCAGGAGAATGCAGAGCGCGTACTCGGCATACAGGATGATCTTGGGCGTCTTCTGCCGCACCAACGACACAAACCTTGCCGCGCACGCGTACTTCGCCCAGAGCGCCTGGGGAAGGGCGTCCCAGGAGTGCACCGGAGCGCCCTGGGGTGGGGCCGGGGCCACCCCCTCCGTGGAGAGGTGCCAGCCGAGCGGTGGCTTGTAGAAGACCACCCGGGTGCCGTCCGAGGAGACGCGCAGCACCCGGGTCACCTTGTGGTTGCGCGCGCGGAACTCCACACTGACTTGGCCGTCTTCGAGGATGCTCAGCTGCAACGACATGGCGGGAAGGGCCAAACCTGTACGGTCTGCAACACTACGAGCTAGCCTGTGGATTCCCGAAATGGGTTTCTAGAAACACAAGAGATTCCCCAGTGGACCGTCGTGGACTCCTCGAGCTCCCAGATTTTCTCCACTGTCCCTAAACAAAGTGCTTCTCGGACTAAGGGCTGGTTCACACACTTGTGACTGCTTACGACAGGGTGGCTTAAAACATCTCGGGATCTCTTACGACTAGAGGACACATTGACGCATTTCCGTTTACGTCCGAATTTTCGCGTGCATCTTTTTTCTTTTTGGTTTGAAGAAGTTCAAATGATGTCATAATGGACCATTTCTGATAGATAGATGGTAGTACATTTGATCTCGCAAACACCGCAAAACTTTCACTGTAGTGAAATGCGATTCCCGAGTTACCTTATCGATGGTGCCAGCACGCCCTCTCGGCGTAAGGGAGCTCTGTCGTAAGCAGACGCAAATGTGTGAACAAGTGTGTGAACTTCTCTTAAGCCTTATTTCAACATACCCGAGCCACCGACCATGAATGCATACAAGCTAAAACACTCCCTAGTATGTGCATTGCTATATACAAGGTCTGCAGGCTTCTGCACCGCTTCACTGATCAATGTCGCGACAGGGACGGGCTCTTCAGCTACCATTCCAGCGGATAAAGGTTCTTTGTGGTTGGAAAGTTTGAGAATCTCCTTTAGAACGACGTGCGTGCGGCTTTCCGAGATGTAGCATCAGCACAAACCACCGGCCCGACGAGCAGATCAGTGCACAAAGTTTGCCGTGAATGGACGTCTCATTGATTCTACGAGCACCATCCATGCACGAATGCACGGTGGTCCGTTGCAATCTCGCTCCCGACAAATTATCGTGCCTATGGCGCCCCGAGTGGGACTTTTACCAGTTCAACTGGGGTCTCGTGGGGTTAGCTCAGAGTGCCGTAGACTGCACTCTTGCAAGGTTATTAAGCGGCTGAAGCTACACAGGTCTAAATTGCATTTCGTACAGTGCCTTAGGAGTGTGGCCGCGGCTTTAGGGTCGAACGGAGTGTAGCGGCATTCGTCGCGGTAACGGGCGGTCGCATCGCACTCACCCGCATGTTGCGTGCCCAGAGGCTAGCTGGTCGCAAGCCCGTGGTGTTGAGGGGAGCCTTGGGAGGTCCGAGGCTCGAAGGCAGGGGCCTCAGAGGGCATCCCGCCTGGCACATGAAGGCCTGTTCGGGAATGCCTGAGTAAAACGCCGACGAGAGCCTGTCTTAAAACGGCGAAAAGAGGGCGCACCAAGGATGAACACAAAAGAAAGGAGCACGCCTCCAAATCAGCCAAACGGACCAACAAACATTGTTGAACTAAGAGCCAAAATATTAGGCAAAAATAATTTCTTTTCATAAAGTAATTAAATTTACAAGTTTAGCTCTTCCCCGTTTTTTTTTTTTTTTTTTCAAGCTGAAAGTCTCTACTGGCAACAGTGAAAAAGCAATGCCAGTGGCAGGCACGAGTTTATACTTTTTGGGCAGTCGAGTTTCTTCCTTGCTGATTACAAGGTGTTTGATGGTGTCAAAAAAATGCTTTGGAAGCTTGCTCCTGCGCCCAAACAGCAGCATGAAACAAATGTGAAGCATTCTGTTCTCTAGAGTGCCTGCTCCACCTGCAAGCCGGCCCATTAGTGACGCCACGGCACTGAAAGTGCGGCCATATTTGAGTGCTGGTTTCGGCATCGCTTTACATTGGCAATTTCACAATACCTATTCCGAATTTTGTGATACTAAATAGCATGCCAGAAAGAGTAAAGGCCGGGGATTTAGAATATACATATATTTATTTGGGAGAGCTCCAGAGATTGCCGGAGTAGCCCTTTAACAAAAGTGCATGTCACATGTGCCGTTTCGCTACTGCTCCAAGTGTCAAAGATGCTATCCGAACATGCATAGTCATGCAATGAGCTCACAGCACATCTCCTGAAGTGTCTTGTTATCATAGTTTTCCTCCATTACATTTTTGACAGGTCGGCAGGCATGAGGGCTATTCAGCAAATTCAGCGAAGCATGGAGCTTTACCAAATTTAGAAACGAGACAGAGTTGCTTTTGGAATGGAGCCATTTGCACGGGTACCTTAAAGGGGCCCTGCAATCATATTTAAGCGTCTAACTTTTTTGCGGTTTTGACGTCTCTTGGGGTTCGGGCAAGCCAGCGGGCACGGAGAGAGTAACTAAATATCAGTGCGTCATGTTTTAATCGGACGACACGGAAACCTCCTCCACCTACTGGGGCGACCCGCGGTGCCGAAAGCGCACGAATGTGAAGTCTTTGGTCCTGGCCTTACTACTAGTCAGAGCCGCTAAAAGCTTTTTTTTTTAGTCGAAATACAAAATATAAGTGGCGCAAACCATTTCATTTATTTATGCAAGTAGGTTTTGTTCAGCATTTTAGATCAGAAAAGAAACAAAAGCAGCTTATAAAGTAGGGAAACAAGAAATGACCTGTCGACATACCCGCCACCAAGCGGTGGAAAAGGGGGCGCATACTAAAAGGGGGTAGTGGGATCAGGCACTGACGAGCGGCGAGTGTAAAAAGGTCCCGGATGTATGCGGCGGCGCTGCAGACGTCAGCAGTCGTACACAAGCTTGAGGATCTGACCGGTTCCGAAGGCCTTCAGGTTTGGCTTGCGATTTGGCCGTTTAGCAGTATGGCAGCTGTAAGTGGCTCCCGTTCTGAACTGATCTTTACCCCGTCTTTGCTGTCGTTTGCAGCCAATAAAGTGTCGTGCCAAATTAGTCTTTAATCGTGCAGCAAATGCAATGCGAGCCGCCCTGGTTACCCGCTTCATACAGCCTATCCAACACGTGCTTTAGTGGCACCCTCTCGAGCCGTCGACACGGAGTGCGGCAGCCGTGAGCGCTCGCTGAGCTTACTACCCCTTTTCTAGTTTACGGCCACTCAAGCCATGACCAACGACGTCATGAAGGAGGTTATTTTTTGCTTGTTTTTGTAATTTTAGTTTGCCCATAACTTTTAAAATAAAGCAAAATTCGAGAAAAGAAAACTTTCATTAACTCACTACGTTCAGTGCGCTCAGGTTCGGTGCAAATTAAAAACCAGTCAAAAAGTTGTTGCAGGGCCCCTTTAAGGCAAGACTTCATTTTCATTCCATACTTTCGCCTGAATCAGGAACAAAAGTTGAATAGTATCTCGAAACTATTTCAACCTTCCGGTATAAAAATCGGCGAGCTCCTGAAGACAATTTGCTGAGAAAAGTCCTTGATACAAAAAAATTTTCAAAATAAAACCACCATTTTTTTTTTTCTATTTATCCAAAAGGAAGTCAATTACTACACTCAGGAGGAATAGACATTTTGTCAAAATCTGGGAACATGGGGACACGTGCTGCTCACGCTCACCTTATATAAGATCCGAGGAAAATTACTAAAATCGAGCATCGACAAGTGCACGAGCAGGGTGACTTTTATTTTAGATTTCGCCTACAAGAAAGCTGAAAGGCCGTGCACTGCAGACATCAGCACATGTAACTACACTCGCAGCATGGTTCTTCGTCCTCAGCTAATTTAGAAAAAAGTCTATTCAATTGGTGTAGTACACTAAAGGAAGTTCTAAGACAAACGGATGCGTGCGGCCAAACACTTTGAAATCGGGTGGCAGCTTGCGCCCCCTATCTAGTGTGGTGCAAAACATGGTCAAAACCGGCGACACCTACGGCGCAGGGGTATCCTCTGCCTCGGATCCCTCTGCAACAGCTGAACCAGGAGTAGCCTCGCCTGGTTCGAGAGTCCGGCCGGCACTTCGAAGGAGCAGCCCTGTGCCGGAGGCCGCCCCAGCAGGAATGTGTGCAGCATCACTCCGAGACTCCAGACATCTGCCTCCAGTCCGTGGGGGTCCCGAGAGGCAACCTCGCTGCGACAGGAAAAACGACTAAAATAAGTCAAATTCGGGGGACCTACCGTAACATCCCAAGAGATGGCGCACAAAAATCAAAAGCAAATCGGATGAAAATTAGAAGTGGGCTACTTTCGGAGTGAAACCAAAAAAAGTTGGAAAAAAGACGGTGTTTGATTTTGTGACCTGCGAAACTTGCGATCGCAGGGAGGGGCGACGAACCAAAGACGGCTGTCCTTCCCACGCCTTGGAAAATTCAAATTCCAAACATACATACCTGAAACTGGGCACGCAAACATAGTTTTGTAACAAATTTTATGTCTATTTCTTTGGGAGCTCAACACGGAGGTAGTGAATATTAAAAATAAAGCAAAATCGGAGGCCGTGTACTTCCTATGCCCTATACCAGCTTGCTTGTCGTCTGCATATTGGTTCACGAGCTCGCTTCCAGGTGGCTTGGTGAATGCAAAAACGCTAAAACCTAATGGCAGCGGCTGGCAATGAGCAAGGTAATTGCAATAATTAATACTTTCAACAAAATGTATGAACAGTGACCACCTGGGAGCAAGCTCGCAAACCAGTGTGCAGACGACGAACGTCGGTATAGGGCATAGGGAATGCGTGGCCACTGTTTCTGCTCTATTTCTAATATTTAACCGCCTCTGACTTGAACTCTAAAAAAAGATAGACATCAATCTTCTTGCGAAACCATGTGCACTTGTACATTGTTAGGTATGTACGTTTGGAATTCAAATTGTGCAAGGCGTGCCAAATGTGTTAGTCCGTCCAGCTGCACCCTGTACCTGTTTAAGAGTTGAGTTACGCCGTGCGGACTATATACAGGTGCCGACCACCGTAATATCTTGGGATACCCTACTTAAAAGCGAGAGCAAATCAGGTAAAAATGAGAAGTAAACTAAGTTTCGGTGTGCAATAAAAAAAATTCTTAAAATGCTATTTTTTTATTTGTGAACTGCCAAACTTGTTTTCAGATTGAGGAGCAATGGAGCATAAACAACCGTCCTCTTCAGTCAGCAACGTTCGCTTATCTTCCGCCGCAGCTATCTAACCCCTCCTCCGTTGAGGTCATCATTGACCAGGGCACTACAATTACTAAAAGTGAGCTATCTTTCTGTTTTTTGAAAAGTAGACAATTATCTAAAATATAGAGGTGGGCCATCTTTCAAGTATGCAGGAATTTGTTTTTTCTAGTTTGTTCATTATGACAAAACAGACAGAATATTATCATGATAATTTATATATCATACAAGCTTGTTTTAAGCCAATAAAGTGGGCACTTGTCAAGGTGTCCTGTGTACGATGATTTTTTTCTGTGCATACTAGTCAATATGTGCAAACTATCCAACAAAAAACAAAAACTCATTTTAAACTAAAAATTGCCCGTGCGCACTGTACACAAGGTGGAAGCTATCGTCCTGAAAATATGTCAATCAAAAGTGCTTACAAATAAGCCCCTCACATTGTACTTTGTATTAGTAGCGCAATATAACGTATTAAGTAGTCTCGGAGACATTCTAAGAAAGCATGGTGCAGCCTCGGGAAAAACTTACGGAGACATGAAGTTTGGCGTGCCACACATCGTGGTGTGACGTTCCCAGGGACCCTTGAGTTGTGTGGCCAGCCCAAAATCTGCAATTTTCTGCACGTCGCAAAACAACATTAATCATTGGCACTTATTAGGCAAGCTCTTAGTGGCTTCTCTCCCATGTTTTCTATCCGCTTCGCCTAAACAATGTGCCACAGACGCGCCAGCAGCGCGAAATGTGCCTGTAAAATCTGCCTTAAACCAGCCTCCACAAGGATGGACAGAAGTAGAGTCTAAGCTCATTACAACAGACCTGGTTACAACAGACATTTGGACATAACATACCGATCTGTGAAGTTTGGCTGGTTTTCCTCTATGTACCATTGACTCAACTTCATATCTGCATAAAGCACACTCCTTTTACAACAGACCGAAATCTTGGTCAAAATCAAGGTCTGTTATAACGAGCCTAGACTAGATATTGCACACAAATACAAAACGAATTAAGGATTTCCTTAGAAGCACTTCTTTCGTAGCTGTACCGGTATCACAGGCACATTTACAATTATGCGAGTTGTGTTCGTCTGTGTCGCAGCCACGGGAACTTCATCAAATGAACAGCACTCTGGGCATAACGACATAAACAAAACGAAAGATAACCAAAGCCGTGAAACGCTCAATCTCCGCAATGTCATTGGCGACGTCAGTCAATGCCCTACAGTCGCGGCACTCGCGGGAAGAAAGAAAAACGAAAGGCAAACAATTCTATGAAAAAAACAACAAACAAGCAGTCCAGTGTTAATCCACGGTTGGCTTTGTTATCACGAGAATGCACCTTACTGCAACGAATGGCAAAACGCGTCGGAGTCTTTTGGCGTCTCGCAACAAGCGCAACACTAACAGGCAGCGATGCCAAGACTCCCACGTCTGCCGCTTTGCACAGTACACTTGTCGAGCTTCGGCACGCCTGCCGCTTGGGACTGCTTGGGGATTCCCTAACGATGGCGTAATGTGTAGGCACTTCTCCTAGGTGGCATTGGACAGATGGATACCGCCAAACTTTTACAATGTGGAGAGCAACGTCTGCTTCTTTGCTGGAGTTGTGGTGACGTCCGAATGACACCGAGCTCCGATTGAAAGGATAGTGGGTAGTCCTCAATGCTAGATGCCTTCAGGTCTACACACTTATTTATTTTGTTCAATCAGCAAATAAGAGCTCGGTATTCTGACATCCTCGCAACCCCTGTGCAAGAAGCAGACAAAGTTGCGCTTCGCATTGGGCGGCGGCTTGCGCCACCTAGTCAAAGCTTTTAATTTCAACAATTGACTTCGACTAAATTCGGAATTAGTTAAAGGGACCATGAAAGGATTTTTCAGATTTTTCCAAATGAAGACCAAATTAATCTTTAATGTTCATGGAACCCAGAGCAGGAATCTGTTTTCGTCTTATTGCCTCCAGTTTTGCACCAAAAAAAAGATGAAAACTCATGTCTGCTTTCCTCCTCGACCTGACCATCAACATGTGAAATTGCGGGGCCGTGACATAAAGTATGCCTTTCTACAAGAAACAGAAGTTCTTTAGGCCGAGTGAAGGAGCCGCATCAGTCAAGCGTCGCGTTACGTCGACGTTTCGGCACAAATATGTCGGAACGTCACCTACTGGGGTTTTTATGAACACCAATTGCTTCGTAGAACTCGTTGGTCTGCGACACTTGTGCAATCAACAACATGGCTATGGATATGTCGCAGCTGAGTAAAGTGCAGCTTAAAATGCTTCGGTATAGTGAAAGTATGGGCCTTCTTCCGTCAGCCACCAAACCCAAGCGGCAAGATGAGAACTCCCCCGAAGAAGGCTGTATAAGTTCTGTGCCAGAACCTGCTGCAAAGGAGTGGCGATTACTCAGTACAGAATGGTAAGTTCACATTTTGGCTGCAAACACAAAACGCTGTAAACAAAGTAATATAAACTCCTAATGAAATTCCTTGTGAAGAAACCTCTTGTGCTCTCGTTGACTCTGTGGCTTATGCAACTGAATATTACACTCTGTCGATTCCATGGACGGTATTAATCGACAATTTCATAGTTTGAGAGTACAGTTTCAGTGACACACTACTCATATCCAATACGGAAGCTAAATTCAACTGACGTCCCCCAAAAAATGGGAAAAAAGGCTCCGACACTATGGATGTTGTGGTTACTTTGCTAGGTGACGCAAGCTAACGCCATTACAGAAAGTTTCGCCACAACTCATTAATTAATCCACCCACTCATACACTCAGCTTTGTTGCAAGCGTTTAAGGTAGACAGTGTAAGATATAGTCCGTTATTATTTGCCACAATTTCGTGCCAAAAATTAGGATTTAACCTTCCTAATCTCACATGCTAGTTTTCCTTTGATCCCGTAAACAATATGCAGTCAGTAAAATTATGTCTAAAATGGTTTCATGGTCCCTTTAAGAGCTAGGAAGAATTTTCCTTTGTGACGTCACAGCAACTGTGAGCATCCGATGGGCACTGGTTGAGACTAAAACTCACGTTCATTCTACAAAAACGTATGATAAAGCGGATCGTCAATGCTGTGGCATAGCTCTGTGGTAAAATGCCTGCTTCGCAAGCAACAAACCCAGGTTCAATTCGAGAGAGGTCCAGGTGATTGTTTTTTGAGAAGCCGACAATATTGCGACGGACCCATTAGACTATTGCGCCAACTACAACATCAGCAACTACTACAGCGAATACGGACGTCATTTCCAATGGTGAGAAGAGCCACAACTATTGCCATAAAAGCTGCCTCTGTGTTACATCCCAGGGGTACTCTAAATGCATAGCGCTTATAAATCCTGCTACGTCATGTGTCACGGGACATAAGGGCCTCACTTGGTGGCACAATGTCAAGTTATGTCATGGTATTATGTGATGCCCCGTGACCATCGGGAAAGCGCGTCGTCGTGCGACGCCAGTGTCACGCTATGTTGCGTGACTACTGTCATGGTGATGGCGTTACGTGAAAACCGTCCACTAAACTTAGTGGGACATCTTCCTCTCTCCGTCGAGGTCAAAACTTATCGACGTTAAAGCGCCAAGAGTCGTACGGCATCGAACATTGTACCGGCATGTCCTAAACGCCCGCAAAAACCGCACGGAGCCACCGAGGAACCTCTCGGAGCGTGCGAGCTCACCACGTGAAGGTCCCGCGTCAGCAGCAGGTTGGACAGGCTCAGGTCTCGGTGCAGGATGCAGTGGGAGTGGAGGTAGAGGATGCCGGAGACGATTTCCCCCAGGAGCCGGCTGGCCTCGGGTTCGGTGAGGGGGCCGCCCCTCGCCCGGAGGTAGCCCTGGAGCTCGCCACCCTCGCAGTACTCGATCACCAGGTAGACATACTCGCGGTCCTCGAAGTAGTTGAAGAGCAGCACGCAAAGAGGTTGCAACGCGACCACAGAGAAAACGCCAACTGCATTTTTCTATTAACGCAAGAGAGGGCCGAGAAAAATATGCGAAAAGCTAAGTGTCTTATGGCCGCCGACAGGATTAGAATAGCGGGGAGGTCCTTCGGTAACGTGCCGCCTCTAGCATGAGCTCCCTATGCTTTGTCGTTCTGGGAGCCTCGAGCATGCATGTGCAGTTAAAGCACAGCGGAAGTCAACGAGCGCTTGCGGGAGGCCGAGCGCCCGAAAGAGACGCTCTGCCAATCTCATCCTGCCGATGACTATGCAGAGCGCAAGTTCGTCTGCTATTCATGAAAAAAGGCGCCAAAAGCTGTCTTTAGCACTCCACGTCACTAACAGATTCTCGCAAGTAGAATTTTTCAAGCAGAGATTGCGAAATGAGCCTTCAGCGGTACGGAAAGCCCCATACCTCGACAACGGAGGGGTGCTTGAGTCTCGAGTGAATGGCGACTTCTTGCTGCACACGGGTGCTGCTCACGCCCATGCGCTTCAGGGCCGATTTGTCCACCTGTCGCAAAGAGCGGCGCATCTCAAAAAGCACGACGCTGACAATTTAACAGACAGTGTTAGGTAACTCTCAGCACCTTCGAATGCGAGTCCATGGTCATATAGCATTCGATCCCAAACAGGAAGTAAAGATCAGAGCAGAATGCTGCAAACTGTAAGTGCTGACATTGGTGGTTCTGAGAGAAAGAATGAGAAAGAGAGCAACAGAGAAGTAGAGAAAGAAAAGTCCGTGAAGATGAGGCACATTCGTCTTGCTGCGACGAGTTGAAGTTGCTCGAGTGCGTGTCAACTTTGGAAATGATGCGTGATGCCGGTGTTTTCCTGCAAAATAAATCTAGAAAAAAATCTATATATAGGCCTCACAAGTGGTGTTTTGCTGCTTCTTTGCGTATATTAAAGCGTCGCCAGCAACATGGGCCCATTGGGACTGCCAATGTTATGCATCTATGCTCCGTCGTCCCAAGGCGGTCGAAATGCATAAGACCTTTGCCTCTAGATTACTACATGAACTCTATGATCCCAAAAGACCCCTCTCATAAACAATGTGTACCAATAACTAGAAGGCACAAACAAACAAGGCAATGGCAGAGCAGCCAACACCACAGAATTAAGTAAAAAAAGCTATGTACGACGACAATGAAGCCGTATGTGTAGCACTCATAGATTTAGAGCTCGCAACAGGATCTTTTGAATGCGTCATTCGGGATTTCCAGAACTTCCAATGGGGCACAGATTCAAAGCTCACAATAATTACGCTTGGTTTTCTTACATAATTAATGTAACTATACTCCGAGTTACCCGTGCCAGTGCCTTAACTAGTAGTTCCTTCATCAAGAGCTAGTTACGAAAGAGGCACAGGTAACCCAAAAAGAGCAGGGTCCAATCATGTACACATGTTTAAGTTTGAACGGATCTTTCTATTCATTTGTTATTTATTGAATAAAGGTTGTCACATTAAATAAACATGACGAAGTAGTGAGGGTACTGCCACGCCAGCTGCGACTCACCATCTTGATGGCTACTTCAAGTCCGCAGTTCTTGGACCGAGCGCGGTAGACCTGAGCGAAACCGCCCTTTCCCAGGAAGTTGAACACTTCGTAGTCCTGCGGTGCGACGATCGAGTGTGATGCGCAACACTCTAGCCAGTGACAAAATGAGAACGACAGAGCGACAACGCCGTGCATTGGCTGCCCAAGCACGCACGAGGATCGCACGAGACATCGAACTGTAATCGAAGGCACGGATGTCGTTCAGCGGGCCTCACACAAGAGTCTCAACCTACTGACATCTCAAACAGGCTGTTAGACACGAAGAGAGTGGCCTTAGCAGCACACAAGCACTCAAAAACTTACCGAGACGTCAGGAAACCTGTTTAGAAAACTATGACGGGCACAGGGATGTCGTTCAGCGCTGCACCGAGCGTTTTGAAAAGCGTAACCGACGAGCGGTGGATTCAAGTCGAGCATACCTGTATGGAATCGCCTAGCTTCGTTGAGATTGAGTTGTCCGTGTTGACGACCATCGTGAACCCCTCGGCAGAACACGAAAATCTGCCGAGAGAATCAGTTCGAGCTCCGTCGAAGCAACGCTACAGCGCTACTGGCGCTACAGCGACATCCACGAAGCAACGGCAGCTGCCATATTTGATTTGGCCGGCGACACGTGATGTCGTTGCTGATGGGCCGACGCACATCAGGCGCGGCTCATCGGCGAAATGCCACGCTATGCATTGTGGGAGTCGGTTGGCCGGTGGAGTTTCGGTTTCGATCATGGGAGAGAGCTCTCTATACTTCGTTTCAGCTTCGGTCCAGACGCAGCCGATGCTACAAGCGCGAGCATGTGGCCCAGAACAGTGCTGGCACTGCACGAGCGCGCGTGCTTGGCAGGGATGCTGAAAGCCCGGAGCTCGCGCTTGTAGCTTTGGCTGCGTCTGGACCGAAGCTGAAACGAAGTATACACGAACTCATCTCTGTTAAGTCACGGCGCGGTGGTGGCGCGTCGGTCGCACTTCCGGTCTGGAGCTGTGGGCAGAAGTCCCCATGCCAGACGTGTATTCCTGCGTTGTTTTGAAAGGAACGAGACAAAAACCTGCCTTCTCGTCAAAACGCCGCGACTGGGGCCGTACCAAAAGTCTCGAGAAAGGTTTGAAGGTCAGTTTTCACGTGCTCGGTTCGTCCGAGAATATGGATATGTGCCGTGAAAAGGGAAAAGCAGACGCCGTCGGACCACGATTGCTTGGGCGGGAAGCACTTTGGGTTGAATTCACGGATACTTGTGGTCATCAGATTTATTTGTTTTGTTCCAACATGAACGCCAGAAAACCCTCAAGTTGTACGGACCACCTGCCGACTACGTCCAGTGCGTCTTCAAGTTCAAACGGCTACCTGATCGTTCAAATTGTCGTCTGCTCTTTCAAACGTTTCTGCTTGTCGTCTGCTCTCTTAGACGACGCCGGCCCGTAGACCAAATCTTGGCCCGGAGCAGGAGAGGAGGAGGGGCATAGCCTCCTCTCCATACCTTTCTCTCCTCCTCGTCAAGAGCTGCGTTCCAATTAGGGGTGTCGCGAACCGGTCGCGGTTCGAGTTCGACCAGGTTCGACTTTTTCGAACTTTTAGTGGAAAGTTCGACGAACCTTCTATTGAGGTTCGACTCGTGTGCGCATGCGCGACAGGCTGGCCACTTGGCTTCGGATTGGATGGTAATGGCTAAGAGATGAATTAAGTGCAGCGCTGATTGGCTATTTCAGTCAATACAGTACTAAAAATTCAGTTATTAACTTCTTCAGTGATTAGAATTAGTTTCTTCTAATTGCAGCTGTTCACAATATAAAATAACCCCTTGCATAAAAAAAAAAAATTCTCCAAACCTAGACATGCTTGTATTAAGGTCTGGCCACACTGTCCATAAAGTCGAACCGGTCGAATCTGGTGAAAAGTTCGAAGGTTCGTCGAACCGGTTCGACTCAGTCGAACCCCGGAAGTTCGACCGAAAAATCTGGTTCGACAAAAGTTCGCGACACCCCTAGTTCCAATTAGGGGTGTCGCGAACCGGCCGCGGTTCGAGTTCGACCAGGTTCGACTTTTTCGAACTTTTAGTGGAAAGTTCGTCGAACCTTGTATTGAGGTTCGACTCGTGTGCGCATGCGCGACAGGCTGGCCTGTTGGCTTCGGATTGGATGGTAATGGCTAAGAGATGAATTAAGTGCAGCGCTGATCGGCTATTTCAGTCAATACAGTACTAAAATTTAAGTTATTAACTTCTTCAGTGAATAGAATTAGTTTCTTTTAATTGCAGTTGTTCACACAATAAAATAACTCTTTGCATAAAAAAAAGAAATTCTCCAAACCTAGACATGCTTGTATCAAGGTCTGGCCACACTGTCCACAAAGTCGAACCGGTCGAATCTGGTGAAAAGTTCGAAGGTTCGTCGAACCGGTTCGACCCAGTCGAACCCCGAAAGTTCGACCGAAAAATCTGGTTCGACAAAAGTTCGCGACACCCCTAGTTCCAATAGACCATATGCGAAAAGAAGCGCCATCTAGTGTAATCATGATCAGTTATCATATTTCCTCCATATTGGGGTGTTCCCGTACCGATGGTTTCGCCCGAGAAGCAATAGTCGCGGCAAAGTGGAAGTCGTAGTACTAAAATATGATCACCTGCTGCAAGTCCAGTACGAACCCTTCACAGGACGTCTTCGAGAAATACCGTTCATTGACCTGGAATGGCCCAGTTCACTGCTTGAGTGACGAGTCTTGCGACCTCGTCGCTGACGATTCCTTTTCCAGAATTTTGCGGCCGTCGTTCTTTTCTTCTTTGAACCGAAACTAACCAGCAGCCCGTTGAGTGTACAAATGAGCTGCCCTAATACCATGAAAACCGAAACTAACCAGCAGCCCGTTGAGTGTACAAATGAGCTGCCCTAATACCATGAAAACCGAGTTTAATGCAGATGCGCCTCTTCCACAACTGGAAGATGTGATAAACCCCCCAATATGGCGGCTCCTAATAGCATGATGATGATAGCTGGCAAGGATTTTGCATATGGCCTATTCGGCGTTACAGGGAGTTGTAAACGGCTTTCTTTTTTTTTTTCTTTTTTTTTTACGGCGGAGCTGTTAAGGGCTATACTACGTTTCACCTAGGGTGCCTCAATGTCCTTCTGTTTAGGGTGATGGCACCCTTTGTAGCACCCGATGCCGACAGCACGCGCGCACGGGTAAAATAACAAAGAAATCGACAAAAACAAAATGTCGCCGTAGTACAGTCAGCGCCACGAGCGCGTGCAGGGAAACGTTCTTTCACGCGCTTCTGAACAAAAAATAAAAATAAAAGTGTGAGACAAAATGGCGAGATGTTTCCACCCTAAGCAAAGCGCACATGAAGGCACCCTAGTTTCATGTTATGTTGTACCGCAGCGAAGGCTAGAAGCGCGAGCTCCTAGCTTTGGCAGCTGCCCTTGGTGCACGAGAGCTTGTGCCGCCGAGATGCGCCCTAGAACAAGGAGCTCACGTGGCTCACGCTTGTAGCCATTCCTGCGGTACAACACAAGGTGAAACAAAGTATAGTTTCCCCAGTATCGTGTCCGTGGACAAAGGTCGACACAAAACGCCAGACAGCTACCACAATCTACGAGCGACGGCGGCAACCAGACAACCTGCTTGCCGGTTATCTGGTTGCCGTCGTCGTTCATGGATGGCAACAACCTTTCCACTTTGGTTTTCACCAAGGAGGAAAGGCTGAATTTCTCTAGGCATCGTCCTTGAGGTCGTCCAAGACGTCGTTCCCGAGGTCGTCCTCTGGGCGCTGTCCTTGAGGTCGTTTTAGACGTCCTCGTGGTTATGAAATAAATACCCCCGGATCGTTATATATATGTCCGATTCTTTAATCGTTCAAATAATCAATTACACCAGCACTCATTAATCCTTACATTTATATATACTTCATTCCCACCATAGTACAGCTTCACTGGTCTTCCTTCTTCACCAAAGTGGAAAGGCTAAAAGATTTTGCCATTTTCTGCTTTCCTTTTTGTATTTTAGGGGTGGGGTCGTTAGTTACCGATCAGCCGCCCACTCCGGGCTACTGAAGACACACGGCCTGCACCAAACTGGATATGAAATCCGCTATCCACGCAACATGCCGAGATGCCAGCCACGTCGGTCGCGTTTCAGAACACTGGTCTACGTCCAGGCTTGGATCCCAGCAGACGCAGTTTGTGCAGGTGGCTGAAATTAATCCCGAGTTCTTTGCCGACGTATGTGTGATGTACTGGTTAATTTGGAATATTGCAAGGGTATACTCAACTGTTTAGGTTACAATCGGTTGGCGATACGAGAAGTGTCGTGTCTGGTCTCCGACCGCGCTTATTAATCTGTGGCTTGCAAGTGTCCCGTGCTTCTCCATGGCCCGCCGCTCGGCTCTCCCCTCCTGGAGTCGAACACGGACGTAATACACGGCAATATGTTTGATATAGACTCGACGTAAGCCTTACCTTTGGATCACTTTCCTCTTCGCAATGCCGAATAGAACTCGTAAAGGTTGAAATAGAGCTTAGCAGTGAGGAAACCGGAAAAGGATGTACAAACATAGCTTACGTTGTACGTGTTTTTGTCCGTCCCTTACTGTTTTCATTCGTCAAAAGGTTAGCGGTGCAAAGTGAAATGTGATTGAGCTTTCACCATCGTATCAATCACGACTGTGCGCACACAAGGGGCTTGGGGGATGGAAACTACGGCAGTGTGCCAACCTAAGTTTGTCAGAAAGCCTGCCCTACAGGGTCCAAGTACAGATTATTGGCATGCGATGCAGATACCCCCAAGTGAAACAAAGACCTTAATCAGTTCCAGGACCGATTGTGTTCTTCGATTGGGTATGGGAGCACTGAAAACCCGATACACCGGGACATTTACACCCAGCACTGCCGGCTATTGAGCACTTGAAGTAATACTGCATCAGGACACAGTGACACAATCTCCCGGTTGTGCACGACTCAAGTAAACTGGCGATTCGGGACACCGCACAGCGTTGAACCAAAACCGAAATCCATGCGCGCTCCGCTCCTGGCACATAGGTTCCCAGAATGCAACGCTCACAGCGACAGATTTATGGAAGTAGTCTATAGGGGGTATTGACTGGACACCATATTTGAGGGCGATGGTTGGAGCACATGCTCAGAACGAGCTCACATTAGGCTGTTCAGACCAACGATCTTGACGGAGTGGAATGTGCATTGCAAAAGAACTGCGGAAACTCTCCATCAGCACGCATACAGATATGGCCACCAGTGAATACTCCCTATGGATTAAGGTTGAATTCCAGAAATCAAGCAAGATTGAATTGCTTAGCTGTTTGCACTAGCTGGCAATGCAGAGAAAAACATCTGCCTGTTTCACTTACACTGGGGTTTCATACACCTGAAGAACGTAGTTGCGTACCCATTACGCCCATACCCCATACGACTAAATAACACGATTGTTTAAAAGTACATTTATTTATGCTTGGCAGATAAGAGTTCACTATTCTTCCATTAATTCAGTTTTCCTTTTTGCAATTGTTAAGTTTAAGTGTCAAAGCAAAAAAGACGTGTATAAGAGTGATTGTTACGAATGGGTTCTGCAAGAAAATGCAAACAAGTAGTTTTTTTGTTTTTTTAAGATGTTGCATACAGTCAGTTTATTCTCATACTTCCATTTGGCCCAAAATATAGTCGACAAGCTGCACTGCTATTAATACACACAACTGATGCCCAAAATTTAAAAAAAAACTAAACAATGGGTTCACAGGCATACACAAATATAAAAATATTTTCTGAAAACTTCATGCGCGAATTCCCTCGTTTTTATTCAACACTCATCAGCCCCCAAACCACTGAGACCTAGAAAACATTCATGCTACTTCCATGCTATAGTACAAGACACAAAAATAAAACTGGCAGACATTTGGCTTGTCACAT